TCTCCAGGTGTGCAGTGTCCAGTGTTAATGTTCTATATGTTGGATTGGATACAATGTCTCCAGGTGTGCAGTGTCCAGGTGTTAATGTTCTATATTTGGATTGGATACAATGTCTCCAGGTGTGCAGTGTCCAGGTGTTAATGTTCTATATTTTGGATTGGATACAATGTCTCCAGGTGTGCAGTGTCCAGGTGTTAATGTTCTATATTTCGGATTGGATACAATGTCTCCAGGTGTGCAGTGTCCAGGTGTTAATGTTCTATATTTCGGATTGGATACAATGTCTCCAGGTGTGTAGTGTCCAGGTGTTAATGTTCTATATTTCGGATTGGATACAATGTCTCCAGGTGTGTAGTGTCCAGGTGTTAATGTTCTATATTTCGGATTGGATACAATGTCTCCAGGTGTGCAGTGTCCAGGTGTTAATGTTCTATATTTCGGATTGGATACAATGTCTCCAGGTGTGCAGTGTCCAGGTGTTAATGTTCTATATTTCGGATTGGATACAATGTCTCCAGGTGTGCAGTGTCCAGGTGTTAATGTTCTATATTTCGGATTGGATACAATGTCTCCAGGTGTGCAGTGTCCAGGTGTTAATGTTCTATATGTTGATTGGATACAATGTCTCCAGGTGTGTAGTGTCCAGGTGTTAATGTTCAGGTGTTAATGTTCTATATTTGGATTGGATACAATGTCTCCAGGTGTGTAGTGTCCAGGTGTTAATGTTCTATATTTCGGATTGGATACAATGTCTCCAGGTGTGCAGTGTCCAGGTGTTAATGTTCTATATTTCGGATTGGATACAATGTCTCCAGGTGTGCAGTGTCCAGGTGTTAATGTTCTATATTTCGGATTGGATACAATGTCTCCAGGTGTGCAGTGTCCAGGTGTGTTAATGTTCTATATTTGTTGGATTGGATACAATGTCTCCAGGTGTGTAGTGTCCAGGTGTTAATGTTCTATATTTCGGATTGGATACAATGTCTCCAGGTGTGTAGTGTCCAGGTGTTAATGTTCTATATTTCGGATTGGATACAATGTCTCCAGGTGTGTAGCAGTGTCCAGGTGTTAATGTTCTATATTTCGGATTGGATACAATGTCTCCAGGTGTGTAGTGTCCAGGTGTTAATGTTCTATATTTCGGATTGGATACAATGTCTCCAGGTGTGTAGTGTCCAGGTGTTAATGTTCTATATTTCGGATTGGATACAATGTCTCCAGGTGTGCAGTGTCCTGGCGTTAATGAGCAGGTGAGGGGCGGCTCTGTCAGCTCTGATAATCGGCACATTTCCGGTCTCAGGTGTGCCTCCCAGGTCCCAGGGGGGGTCGGCTGACTCAGCCTGATTCCGTTACCAAGGATTACTGAGACGCAGGCAGGTATCACACAGCCCTGAGAAGTCATCTATAGCGGCATTGTAGGGTCAGGGGGTGCCATCACAGCTGCCACCATGAACACCCTGACGCAGATGATGACCCACCGAGGGGAGAGGATGAAACAGGAGAAGGAAGAGATCACAGCCTGGACCAAACCGCTGGAGAACACTGAGAATTCCAGGTATAGAGGAATGGAGAAATTCTTCATTGGAATGTTACGAAATGTCATAGAAAGAGGTGACCCCTGTGGCCCATCTTCTTCTCTGTATCAGGTTTTGAGACATTTTGGTGTGTTGTCCAGATGTGGGCATGCACTAGTGAACAGCACTGTGCCCCGGGGTATGTGTCCCTTTTGCCCCTTCCTTTTCCTGGCCCTCTACCCCAGAGCATCCTGTGCCATTTTGTGATCTCAGTGCATCTCATGGCTTCAGAGAATTCTTTATCATCTAGTGGCCCCTGTACTCATCAGAGTCATCTATGTCATCTAGGGGCTCCTGTGCACCCCATGACTCCAGAGCATCCCGTGTCATCTAGGGGCTCCTGTGCACCCAATGACTCCAGAGCATCCCGTGTCATCTAGGGGCTCCTGTGCACCCCATGGCTCCAGAGCATCCTGTGTCATCTAGGGGCTCCTGTACACCCCATGACTCCAGAGCACCCCATGACTCCAGAGCATCCTGTGTCATCTAGGGGCTCCTGTGTACACCCCATGGCTCCAGAGCATCCTGTGTCATCTAGGGGCTCCTGTGCACCCCATGACTCCAGAGCATCCCGTGTCATCTAGGGGCTCCTGTGCACCCCATGGCTCCAGAGCATCCTGTGTCATCTAGAGGCTCCTGTGCACCCCATGACTCCAGAGCATCCTGTGTCATCTAGGGGCTCCTGTACACCCCATGACTCCAGAGCACCCCATGACTCCAGAGCATCCTGTGTCATCTAGGGGCTCCTGTGCACCCCATGACTCCAGAGCATCCTGTGTCATCTAGGGGCTCCTGTACACCCCATGACTCCAGAGCATCCCATGACTCCAGAGCATCCTGTGTCATCTAGGGGCTCCTGTGCACCCCATGACTCCAGAGCATTCTGTGTCATCTAGAGGCTCCTGTGCACCCCATCATTCCAGAGCATCCTGTGTCATCTAGGGGCTCCTGTACACCCCATGACTCCAGAGCACCCCATGACTCCAGAGCATCCTGTGTCATCTAGGGGCTCCTGTGCACCCCATGAGTCCAGAGCATCCTGTGTCATCTAGGGGCTCCTGTACACCCCATGACTCCAGAGCATCCCATGACTCCAGAGCATCCTGTGTCATCTAGGGGCTCCTGTGCACCCCATGACTCCAGAGCATTCTGTGTCATCTAGGGCTCCTGTGCACCCCATCATTCCAGAGCATCCTGTGTCATCTAGGGGCTCCTGTACACCCCATGACTCCAGAGCATCCTGTGTCATCTAGGGGTTCCTGTACACCCCATGACTCCAGAGCACCCCATGACTCCAGAGCATCCTGTGTCATCTAGGGGCTCCTGTGCACCCCATGACTCCAGAGCATCCTGTGTCATCTAGGGGCTCCTGTGCACCCCATGACTCCAGAGCATCCTGTGTCATCTAGGGGCTCCTGTGCACCCCATGACTCCAGAGCATCCTGTGTCATCTAGGGGCTCCTGTGCACCCCATGACTCCAGAGCATCCTGTGTCATCTAGGGGCTCCTGTGCACCCTAAGACTCCAGAGCATCCTGTGTCATCTAGAGGCTCCTGTGCACCCCATGACTCCAGAGCATCCTGTGTCATCTAGGGGCTCCTGTACACCCCATGACTCCAGAGCACCCCATGACTCCAGAGCATCCTGTGTCATCTAGAGGCTCCTGTGCACCCCATGACTCCAGAGCATCCTGTGTCATCTAGAGGCTCCTGTGCACCCCATGACTCCAGAGCATTCTGTGTCATCTAGGGGCTCCTGTGCACCCCATGACTCCAGAGCACCCCATGACTCCTGAGTAACCTGTATCATCTAGTGGCTCTTGAGCACCCAAGAAAATTCAGTGTCATCTATTGGCTCCAGATTACCACAGAGCATCCTGTTTTGCCTGCAACCTCAGTGCTCCCCCCTGCCAGGGCGGACTGACCATTCGAGAACTCGGGCACCGCCCGAGGGCCTGGGGTCAGTAGGGGGCCCCATGAAATGCCCCTGGTACCTTTTTATAGGCTTTTATGGGTGTGCTTTGAGTGTGGGCAAGGACACAGGGGCCCCATGATCCCCTATTGCCCGGGGGCCCCATGAGTTGTCAGTCCACCCCTGCCCCCTGCCATGCATTGCACAGCATCCTACGTGATCTTGGTGCACCCTTGTCCTCCTCATGACTTGAGCGCGCTCCAGAGCATTATGTGTCATATAGTGACTCCAGATTATTTCCAGAGCATCCCGTTTCACCTTGTGACCTCATTGCACCCCATACCTCCAGGACATCCCACAGCATCCTATGTGATCTTGGTGCACCCCTGTGCTCCTCATGACTTCAGTGTCCTTCAGAGTATTCTGCGTCATCTTGTGACTCCAGGTTACTCCAGCTCATCCCGTGCCACCTTGTGACCTCAGTGTACCCCTGTGCACCCCATGCTTTCAGTGCATCCCACGGCATCCTACTCCAGATTACTCCTGTGCCCTTTGTCATCTTTTGACCTAAGTGTACCCCTGTGCACTCCATGACTCCAGAGCACCTTAAACCATCATGTGTCATCTTCTGGCTCTACTGCACCAAAGAGCGTCCTGTGTTACCTTGCGTGCCCCTGTGCATCCCATGACTCCAGTGCATCCCATGACTCCAGTGTACCCTAAACCATCATGTCTCATCTTCTGACTGTACTGCACCCAAGAGAATCCTGTGTCACCTTGCGTGCCCCTGTGCATACCATGACTCCAGTGCATCCCATAGCATCCAGCGTGGTGCACCACCATACTCCTCGTGATTTCAGTGCTCTCCAGAGCATTTAGTGTCATCTAGTGACTCAAGTGCACTCGAGAGTATCCAGTGTCACATCATTGATCCCCTGTGTACTCCTTGATTCCAGTGCACCTTGAATCCTGTGTCACCTTGTAACCTCAGTGCATCTCTGTGCAGTGCATCCCAGAACATCCTATGTAATCTGGGTGCACCCATACACTCCTCGTGACTTCCGATTACTCCAGAGCATCCCGTGTCACCTTGTGATCTCAGTGTGCCCCTGTGCACCCCATGACTTCAGTGCATCCCAGAGTATCCTATGCCCCCTTGTGATCTCAGTGCACCCCTGCCATCCCCTGACGTCAGTGCCCTCCAGAGCATCCTCTATCATCAAGTGGCTTTTAAGGCACCCTGTGCCCAATGTCTAACACCCTCTTAAGTTGTCTGCTACACTTCACAGTTAGTACCTTCTACTGCCTCTCTACTTGAGTACACTCCTGAAGTCACTCAGGCTGTCTTCTCAGTGGACAAGTACTCCTGTCCTTAATAATAATGGGGGTAAGTGTGGGATGACTGGACCATATATGAGGGAAATCACTGACCTTCTCTGTTTTCCATCCAGCACCCAGAAGCGGTCCTGGATTCTGGACCCCTCCAGAGACTTGTACTACGCCTGGCTCAATGTCATGGTCTTCCCAGTCACCTACAACTTGGTCATCATCATCTGCAGGTAATGACAAGCTCATTACAGAGCCCCTGGATAATGGCCACCTGACATTTCACAGAGCTTAGCCAGATAATAAAAATAATGAAGCTAGCACACATAAATACATTTTTAATAATTAAATTTGGAAAAATGATAGAGTACATAGCAAAACCTAAAGATACATCTGACTACATTAGGCACCCCAGAAATTCTGCCTCCATTAAACATAAGGCCACTGATCGAAGCTTAGAAGGTCATGATGCACTATTATTTACCAGGGAGGCACCAAAAAGGAGGTACAGGTGGAGGTGGATGACAACCATTCAGGGCACCAACCCAACCTGACCCCAATGTGGAACTTGATTTGAGAAATGGGTGTTATGTAATGTGAGTGGTGGGGGATACCTCCGCTTTTTTTCACCCTTTTGGCATTTCTACTTTCCTACAATAAATCAGCCCTCCTGGATGCTCTCAACATGGAACCTGCCAGGTTCCCAGAATATGTTGCCTATCACAAGACCCCTCTGGCTATTCATACCTTTTATAGGTCACAAGCAAGGATGAGCTAAGGTTTGGGCCGAACTGGACTCAAACCTGTGGGAAACTGTCACATGATCAGGGGCGGACTGACAACTCATGGGGCCCCCGGGCAATAGGGGATCATGGGGCCCCTGTGTCCTTGCCCACACTCAAAAAAGCCTATAAAAAAGGTACCAAGGGCATTTCATGGGGCCCCCTACTGACCCCGGGCCCTTGGGCAGTGCCCGAGTGCTCGAATGGTCAGTCCGCCCCTGCACATGATAGCAGGCCACTGGCCCAATCAACTGGGGCTGTGAAATTCTCTCCTCCACAGCTACACATAACAAATGGTTTAGGATGCTGATGACATAATTGACCTAATATGGTCATACTGGACAATGTCATTGACCAAATGGCAGAAAACTTATCCAACTAAAATTTAAAGCCTTTAGAGTTGGACTTTGAAAAAATTATTGAAATAAAACTAACCAGAGGCAATTATAGTTCCCAATTATATAACCCTAGGCCTAGGGTTGGAGTGCTGCAGGAATCTCCCCTCCTGGGAAGAAACCCTAAAGATGGTTGCATGCGATGTCCTGTTCTGGCCTAGAGGAAGCAACTGTCCCTCACAAGAGAGGTGGGGAGTGATTGATTGGGAGGTATGAAATGTAGTGGCCCTAGCCGTGTTCTGTGTTGCATATCCTCTACGTGTACAACCATGTGGTGGGGGAGCGAAAGAGCTCTTTAACTCCTGCCTGGCATTAGTTGGCTCCATGAGACTTGCTGAGGTGCTATGGGCACAGGGTTCTCCTGTGAGCATCAATACAAAAGTGCTCAAAGACTGGTCTAACCACCACCACCCAGTAGCCTATTCCATACCCCCCTCAGTCCTTAAAGCACATGGTTCCTATAGCAGTTACACCGAGCACCCGTTCATTTCTAGAAGACATTCCCACCTTGAGGTTAAGAGAAGTAGGAGTAGACCCAACAAAAACTCTTTACTGAAGCACTATTGATTTACATATGTAGTACTAACCCCTTAGGAGTTGCAGACATTTTGGGTCCCCCTATAGTCCTGCATAGCCAGGCAACACACATTTTCACATCAATTTACACCCAGGAGACAGTAACCAGTCTTTGAGCTTTGTTTTTTAAGTTTTATTAGGGGATTTGAACTGGGATAAGGTTAGGGGTGTACGGGATGCCCAATGGAACTGTGAAACTGAGGACAACTTCCTGGAACTATATACAAGTTTTTACACAAAAAATCCTCTTCTTGGAAAGCTAGCCAGCATCTCCAGTTCTACCACCCCAGACCTTGATTCTCCTAATCCAGCTGTTCTGAGTAAATCCCTGAGCCGGGGGTCCAGTGCCTGTCACTTCAAGGGAAGATAGTCTTGGGTAGTTGCTAATCTGGTCCTTCCTCTATCTGACCCAGGGGATGCATGTCTACTCACTCAGTTCTTCTCCTGTGCTACTGATGGGTCGGTGGCTGATACCAGGCTTTCTAGCTGTGCTGCTCCTTCCCTGTTACACAGGCGGTTCTCTCTCTGGGGGCCGGTTAAGTCCCAAGCTTTCCTCCTTCCAAGCTTCCTGCCTGGAGGTGAGCCACTCTTCCATCTGGGCCCCCTCCCAGGCTTCAGCTCTCCAGCCTCACTTTCTCTCCCTCTTCCACCCAAACTCTCTGGTGAGCCAGCTTGGTTACTCTTAAAGGCTGTCCTGGCCCTTAGACAAACCTTCTGTTGAGGATTGGCCAGGATCTTCTAAGAGTACCTTCACCCACTGCTAGATCTTTCTCCAAAGTTCCAAAGCAGGGGGGAAGTCCTAGAGAGCTGGTCTTCAGAGCTTTTCAGCTCTGACCACAATTTTTGACCCACCTGGCTATCACACCCAGGCTGCTACTTAGCCCTCCTCACCTACAATTGAATTAGAGCTGCCCCTAGCTACCTAGGAGGGTGCTACACATATGTACATCCTTCCAGTGATCCCATTGGTAACGGCACATTCCTTAGCTGCAAACAGAGTACAGCAGAGATGAGAGCTGAGTCGAGTAGCAGCCTATACCTGTAGGGGATGCCAGAGTCCTACATCCCATGATGAAAGGATATGTTGGTCCCATTAGTCCTGCACCTCTCCTTCCTTGCTTCCTCTCTAAGTGGAAGCTCCCAGAAATCACAAAGATTACATCTTTGAATGCCTTGGTTCACTGCTTCCCATGAGCAGCTGACCTCTAAGTGGACTCAACAGACTATTTTTAAAAAGCCCTTTTACTCAAGATGCCTCATACTGGCAGGGCTGACACTTCCTCACTTTCTAAGTTACACCCCTTTAACTACAATGGGGACCTCTAGCAGCAACATAGGCACTCACACTGCCTACTCTCCACTATAGGGTTCCCAATCCTTACTATAGCTACATCCAGACCCAATCCTTTGAGCATACACAGAATCCTTTCCATGTTGTCCAGCCTTGAAATAGAAAGATTGAGATACCACTTGAACCTCAATTGCCAAGGAGCCATGTCCTATGTTTAAGTGTCCAGCCCGCATAGCCCTGTGAGAGAGGGATGTCTAGTAGTATGTGCATAAGACCAAAGATGAACCTCCTGGTATCCGTTGCTCCCTCCCCGCTCCTTCCTATTGCCCATGCACTGGTACAATACATCTATCTAAGTTTAACTTTAAAGTTACTGGTGCCCATCTTTCTTCCATCTTGAGAAAAGATTTCATCACTGACATGAATATTCCTGGAACCTTACTGCCAAGTAAGTGGGCTTAGGACATTCACAATGTAGCTGCTAGCAGACTGAAGATCAGTGCTTATTGGAGATTAGTAGTAATAGCAAAGAGAGCTGTTAATACTACAATATACAAGAACATTTTAGACAAATGTTCTCTTCCAACCGTGTGTAGCGCCTTTTCTGTTCTAGCACAACTGTGCCCCTGTGTACAAAGCCAGCTCCATAAACACATGCTTTGACCAACTTGGTGTGGAGAAACTTGAGTTATACAGAGCCCTCACCTCAACCCTACTGAACACCTTTGGGATGAATTAGAATGCCAATGGCGATCCAGGTCTTCTGATCCAATATCAGTACTTGACCTCACAAATTATTATTATTATACAGTATTTATAAAGTGCCAATAGTTCGCTCAGCGCTGTACATTACAAAGGGGGACAGAACATGTGACAGAACAACACCAATACAATACAATACACGAGGAGATCGAGGGCCCTGCTCTTTCGAGCTTACAATCTAGGAGGGAGGGGATGGTGGCACAGGAGGAGATAGCTGTGGGGGATGGAGTGGTAGGAAGAGTGGAGGAGGTCGGCAAGTTAGCAGGGGGTGGGGTAGGCTTCCCTGAAGAGATGGGTTTTCAGGGTGCGCCTAAAGGAGAGGAGAGTAGGTGATAATCTGATGGGTTGGGGCAGGGAGTTCCAGAGGATGGGTGACACCCTGTTGAAGTCCTGGAGGCGGGCATGGGAGGAGGAGACCAGGGAACTAGAGAGAAGGAGGTCTTGTGAGGAGCGGAGTGTGCGTGTTGGGTGGTACTTGGATATTAGGTCAGTGATGTAGTTCGGGGCAGTATGGTGGACGGCTTTGTACGTCAGTGTTAGGATTTTGAATTTGATCCGTTGCGCAATTGGAAGCCAGTGGAGGGATTGGCAGAGGGGGGGTGGCGGAGATGGAGCGGTTGGAAAGGTGAATGAGTCTGGCAGCCGTATTATGACCACTAGATGTCACTGATGATCATAGAAAACAAGTATTTATTTTCTATGATCTTTAGCTCCATTTAATGGCTCCTTATATTGCTGGTCACTCAATCTAGTGGCCACAGTGTGGTATTTTCTTGAACCATTTTATTTTATATGAATGAACATTTGACCTGTAGAGGAAACAGGAATATGATGATCTCCACTTTCTTCTGGGTCCTGTGCTGGTGGCTGTCCTGCTGCATTCTGAACACAGGAGGTTGACTGCATTGTCCAACAAATTTCCATCTAGCTACTTCAACAGAAGTCGGTTGAAAATGAACTTTTGTCAAGTTGGGTGGTGCTGACAGGACCACCCATGGCTTGAGTTTCAGATGATCCAGCAGAAACTCTGCCAAATTTTGATAAAGCAGTTTCCATGGGGGGAGATTTCCTAAAAGTGGCGCACTCAGAATCTGGCTCAGCTGTGCATGGAAGCCAATCGTATTCTTCTTCAGAACTTCAGCTTGTTCAATTAAAGTGTTACTAAACCCACAACAGTTACATCAGTGTGTATATGTAGGAAAGCATGCTTGTTATACTCACTGTGGAATCTAAGGGGTTAATCCTCTGCACTGTGTAAAAATGCTGTTTGATCCTGACTTCTCTGATCCTCCCTTTCTTCCATTGTCCCCCTCTTATCTCCTGATAAGACATATCGTGGAGACACTCTGCACATGCTCAGTTTAGTGTGTATTGCTAGAGTTTTTTTTTTCCTTTTTGAGAGAGTGCATGTGATCAGCACAGGGCTAATCAGCACTATCCAGACAGAAGTCAGGGGTTCTGCATCCTCCTAGAGCAGAAATAAAATTCCTCCTGCCAGTAAATAATTGCACTTCCATGTTCTGATGGGCACAAATTCCCAAAGACACCCCAAAATCTTTTTGAAAGCCTTCCGAGAAGAATGCAGGCTGTTATAGCTTCAAATAAGGGAGGCCACTCCATATTAATTTCCATGGTTTTTGAATGGGATGGCCAGCAAGCTCATAGATGTGTGGTGGTCAGGTGTTTACAAAGGATTGACCATATTGGGTTTGATTTACTAAAACCAGAGAGTGCAAAATCTGGTGCAGCTGAAACGTACCCATGGTACGTTTCAAACTTTAGCTGGAACCTGGAAGCTGATTGGTTTCTATGCAGAACTGCACCAGCTTTTGCGCCCTCCAGTTTTAGTAATCACCCCATAGTTTTTTTTAAAGGTAGAAGAACCTTCCTGGCTCTCTGCTTCTCTCTTTAATGTTAGCTTGTGTTGTCCAAAAATAAAAGTACTTTCTTAGTAGCCTTGCAGTGGTCCTGATACCTATCGCTCTGTACTTCTCCCACCAGGTCCTGTTTCACAGAGCTGCAGTATGACTACCTAAGCATCTGGCTGAGCCTGGACTACCTGTGTGATATTCTCTACATTCTGGACATCGTCGCCAACTTTCATACAGGTCTGGGCAGCGTAGCATTGCATATATATTTAATGTTTTGCAGCTTCATAAAAAGAGAACTCACAAAATGTCTAAGAGAGAAAGAAAAATAGGCTAGAAATACTCTACTGTTCTGACTCAACTACGAGACTATAAACTTTATCTCCAGCCATGTATACAGCTATACGACTTGGTGTTGAATTTATCCCTTGCATCGGGTCAGACAGTTTAACTCAGATGAGGAAACCCATTTGAATGTTCCATTTAATGGAGAATAATCATAGGTAGAAAAAAAAACGATAATGTTGTAATCCTCATGGAGAGATGCATTCAGGTAGACAGGATACAGTGGAATATTTACCAGAGAGAGGCAGGGGGGAGGAATATACACAAGTACGCTGAGGGAAAGAGCTCAGCTTAGACAGAAGGAGATGGCTTACAGACACAGAGTAATAATAAACAAGTGATGGTCACAGAGAAATAATAATGAATCAAATAGTGTAACACAACATCTACTTACGGGAGTAAATTTAATCTCTCAAGTGAAAATTTGCAGTGAATGTGACCGGTCCTCTCCAGGTTGGAGTTTGCTGGCCTACAGCAGTTTGCTTCACTGCGGAACCTGGTTGACTTGAGTCACCAGGTAAAGAATACTTGTAAAAGAAGCAGAGGAACCCCCCAATAAAGTAGAAGATCATGCTCTAGTGTTCCTTGGATGACCTCTGGTAGGATGTAATGGGGATCCTACTTGTTGGGGAGAAAATCCCGGCCCCTTGTGACATCAGCAACTTTAGGAGCTATCCTAATAAAATAAAGTGCAGTATCTCTTTATTGGGGTAGTCGTGTCACATGGGGCTCCAACAACTTGCCCAAACCGGTCGATTGGCAAGTGGAGACAGGTTTGGATTTTCTCTGAAGTTTCCTTTAATATTTACAGTTGTGCTTAAAAGTTTGAATCCCCTGGCAGAAATTGTGAAATTTTGGCATTGAAATTGAAACTTTGACTGATCGTGCTAAAACAAAATGTCTTTTATTTAAGGATAGTAATCATAGGAAGCCATTTATTATCACATCGTTGTTTGGCTACTTTTAAAATCATCATGATAACAGAAATCACCTCAATGGCGCGGGTCAGAAGTCTCCGCCCCCTGGATCAGAAGTCTCCGCCTCCTGGAATGTTTGGCCTTGGTACAGACACACAAGGTGACACACACGGATTACAATGCCAATTAATCCCAAATCTGTTGCTTTTTTAATTGCAATTAATGTCAGTGTATAAATAGTTATTGAGTTTGTTGGTTCTCACGTAGATGAACTGAGCAGGCTAGATACTGAGCCATAGGGAGTAGAGAAGAACTGTCAAAAAGACCTGAGTAGCAAGGTAATGGAACTTTATAAAGATGAAAAAGGATATAAAAAGATATCTAAAGCCTTGAATATGCCAGTCAGTATTGTTCAGTCTAGGAGCGGACTGACCATTTGGGAACTCGGGCACTGCCCGAGGGCCCGGGGTCAGTAGGGGGCCCCATGAGATGCCCCTGGTACCTTTTAATAGGCTTTTTTGGGTGTGGTTTGTGTGTGGGTGGGAGCACAGGGGCCCTGTGATCCCCTATTGCCCAGGGGCCCCATGAATTGTCAGTCCACCCCTGGTTCAGTCACTTATTAAGAAGTGGAAAATTCGAGGATCTCTTGATACCAAGCCAAGGTCACGTAGACCAAGAAAGATTGCAGCCACAACTGCCAGAAGAATTGTTTGGGACACAAAGAAAAACCCCACAGGTAACCTCAGGAGAAATACAGGCTGCTGTGATAAAAAAAACAGCGTGGTTGTTTCAAGGAGCACAATACGACGATACTTGAAAAAAAATGAGCTGCATGGTTGAGTTTCCAGAAAAAAGCCTTTACTGGGCCAATTCCATAATAAAGCCCAGTTACAATATGCCTGATATTACCTCCTCACAGCTGCTGGCACACTGTAATCTGGAGTGATGAGACCAAAATAGAGCTTTATTGTCACATAAGCACAATGCTTGGAAAGGAGTCAACAAGGCCTATAGCGACAATAAAATTATCCCCACTGTGAAGCATGGTGGCGGCTCACCGATGTTTTGAACATATGTGAGCTCTAAAGGCACGGGGAATCTTGTGAAAATTGATGGCAAGATGAATGCAGCATGTTATAAGAAAACACTGGCAGGTAATTTACATTCTTCTGCAGTAAAGCGGCGCATGGGACGCTCTTGGACTTTCCAGCACGACAATGACCCTAAGCACAAGGCCAAGTTGACCCTCCAGTGGTTACAGCAAAAAAAGGTGAAGGTTCTGGAGAGGCCATCACAAGTCTCTTGACCTTAATATCATCGAGCTGCTCTTGGGAGATCTCAAACGTGTGGTTCATGTAAGACGACCAAAGACTTTGCATGGCCTGGAGGCCTTTTGCCAAGACGAATGGGCAGCTCTACCACCTACAAGGATTCAGGGGCCTCATAGACAAAAGATCGACCGCCATCATTGATGATAAAGGGGGAAATACACAGTATTTAGAACGAAGGGGATGCAAACTATTGAACAGGGGGCATGTCATTGGTTCACTTGTTGCCATGTTCTGTTTTATGATTGGGCCATTCTGTTATGACCTCCAGTTACAGAATATGAATCCCATAAGAAATAAAAGAAATGGGTTTTTCCGGCTCACTCGTGTTTTCTTGGTGCATACAATATATTACCAATTCTCCAAGGGGAGGCAGACTTTTGAGCACAACTGTATGTCCTGCTGGAGTGAAAAAGTTTAGCAATTTCCTAACGAGGCGTTCATTTCTTCTTCTTTAGGGTTTTTGAAAGAAGGGATCCTGGTGACGGACAAGAAACAGATCGCTCGGCGGTACCTGAGCTCCTCCAAGTTCCGTTGGGATCTCCTTTCTGTGCTTCCAACTGACTTCCTTTATTTCAAGTTTGGCATCCATACACCGGCCGTGCGAATTAATCGCTTCCTCCATGTCCAGCCTCTCTTCGAGGCCTTCGATCGCACAGAGACTCGAATCCCGTATCCAAATGTTTTCCGGATCTGCAAACTGATGGCCTACATTTTCGTGGTCATCCACTGGAACAGTTGTGTTTATTTTGCCCTGTCCAACTATATCGGGTTTGGCAAGGATGAGTGGGTGTACCCTAATATCTCCGACCCCGACTTTGCCAGCCTGGGGCGTCAATATGTCTATAGTTTTTACTTCTCCACCCTCATCCTCACCACCGTGGGGGATGTTCCTGCACCCGTGCAGGAGGAGGAATACCTTTTCATGACGGCGGACTTCCTCATTGCCGTTCTGGGGTTTGCCACCATCTTGGGGAGCATCAGCTCCGTGGTCGCCAACGTGAACGACGGAGATAAAGCCTTCTACCCTGATTATGACCAAGTCAAGCAGTACATGAAGATGTACAAAGTGAACAAAAGTGTGAGGAAGAAGGTCATCGCCTGGCATCAGCACCTTCAGATCAACAAGAAGATGACCAACGAAAACCAGATCTTGATGAACCTGCCAGAGAAGTTGAGGGTGGAGGTGGCCGTCAGCGTCCATATGTCCACATTGAGCAAAGTGCAGATCTTCCAGAACTGCGAGAAGGGCCTGTTGGAGGAGCTGGTGCTGAAGCTGAAGCCACAGGTCTACAGCCCCGGGGAGTTCGTGTGTAAGAAGGGCGACATTGGGCGTGAAATGTACATCATCAAAGAGGGGAAGCTGGCGGTGGTGGCAGATGATGGTGTGACGCAGTTTGCTGTCCTTGGTGCAGGGAACTACTTTGGAGAAATAAGCATCCTCAACATCAAAGGTAGGCGATGACTTGGCTTCGGTAGCAAAATTGTACCTTAAGGAAGCGGTTTACATCTGTTTATGGGTCTTTGGTGGGGTTTCCAGAATGTATAACTGTCCATCCAGTTCTGAGATTTACACAGCTCTGTAACCCAGCACAGGGCAGGAGAATTTTCTTTGCTGTAGTTCAGTACAGGGGCGGACTGACAACTCATGGGGCCCCTGGGAAATAGGGGATCATGGGGCCCCTGTGCCCTTGCCCAAACTCAAAAAAGCCTATGAAAAAGGTACCAGGGGCATCTCATGGGGCCCCCTACTGACCCTGGGCCCTCAAGCAGTGCCTGAGTTTCCAAATGGTCAGTCCGACCCTGGTTCAGTAACACTTTCAGGTCTTGTCCCGCCCCCAGCCTGTGATTGCATGTTTAAAAGGAGAAGCACCTAACTGATGAGCTCGTCTCTCTGATCTCTCCTCCTACCAGTATGGTCGTTGAACTGCAGCACACCTGACTGGCATGCCCCCAGGTCCTGAACCTGGTCCTGGTCTAAGATATTCCCCCACCCCCTATTCTCGCAACTAATCAGATAGAGCCCACCTCATTATCTGGCTGGAGAACATCCAGCATTATCTAGCTATTTCCTCCCCAGCCTGACTATCCCTGGCCCACCTCTTTCATTCATTGAATTTTTGAGCATGGAGGCTCAACACCACAGGTGGATATTACCCAGGGTGGTCTGCATGAAAATACAGCCTGCCTAGGAGAATCCAGAATGATATCCACCCATCAAGGCATTTTAATTTGCATAAATCCTCCCAAGGGCCAGCCCACTGCTTGCATCCGGGCCAGGGGCGGACTGACCATTTGGGAACTCGGGCACTGCCCAAGGGCCCGGGGTCAGTAGGGGGCCCCATGAAATGCTCCTGGTACCTTTCATAGGCTTTTTTGGGTGTGGTTGGAGTGTGGACGAGGATACAGGGGCCCCATGATCCCCTATTGCCCAGAGCCCCATGAGTTGTCAGTCCGCCCCTGATCTGGGCTGCAGGCTCTTGAGAGGAGTACTGAGGAAGAGTGCTGTGATACTTTCAGGAAGCTACATACAGCACCCTGCCGGCCCCTCCCACTAGTCATGATCTGCCTGCATTGCATAGAGATGCACAAAGGCCCAGTGATGATATCACCAGGTCTAAAATAGTATATAATTAAAAAGTTATTAGCCTGTTGGGGAGGGGGGAGGTGGGAACCAGGAAAGGCAAAATATAAGCAGATTAGTTTTCAGCTTTAATGAAAAGACATAATCTCCGCCCCCTTAGCCAGTGTGTCTATAATCCCCCTGGAGATGTAATAGCCAGTGATAACACCCCTGTGCTCATTGTCCAGGTAACACATCTGGGAATCGCAGAACAGCCAATATCAAAAGCATCGGCTATTCGGATCTCTTCTGCCTCTCCAAGGAGGACCTGAAGGAAGTCCTCACCGTGTACCCCGACGCCAAAACCATCCTGGAAGAGAAAGGACGGGAGATCCTCCTCAAGATGAACAAGCTGGATGAGAAGCTGGCGGCCGAGCTGGAGGCCAAGCAGCTGGAGATGGAGGAGAAGGTGCAGAGGCTGGAGGCCAACCTGGAGTCCATGCAGACCAAGCTGGCCCGGCTCCTGGCTGAGCTGGAGTCCAGCGCCGCGAAGATACTCCAACGGATTAAACGTATGGAGTGGGAGATCAGCCTGTGGGAGGAGGAACCTACAGAGGACAAACCCACAGATAAGTCTGAGGACGAAGAGTGACCCAATGGTGGAAACCACCAGAAACACAATGAAAGGGTCATGTGATGGGCTACCCTCCCTGTGCAAATGAGGGGGTGAGGGAGGAACATGACTGTTCTACAAAACTCCCAAAGAGCAACTATAAATATATATGAGAACTACTGAATACACCCAGGAGATGCTGCAGTCAATGTATAAAGTTAGCAAGTCAATTCAATGAAATCAAGGGGTCCATCAATGAAATCATTGCTGTGTGATCGCGAATTATACCTATAATGTGTCAAATACATTTATTTCCTATGATCGGTAGCTCCATCTAGTGACCCTAAGGCTGAAATTTTCCTGAAATACCTCAATCAAGACAATACCGCATTGCGACCACTAGATGGAGATGATGATCATAGAAAATAAACATTTAGACACATTACAGGGATTATTTGCAATGGCTGTGTGAATGCCAAGACATTCGCACAGCAATTGTTACAAAATATAGACCTTTGAATCCTGAGTTTTACAAAATCCCATACAACCTTGCAGCTTAATTGAGACATTGTAGTGGGTGGGTCTATTCCCTTAGGTCACAAGACTATAGGCTGGGAGAGGCAGCCAGAAGAATACAGTGGGAGGGACTGACATATACCGCAGTGATGTACAGAGAACACTGAGCCAGTCACATCAGTCTCTGTACCAGAGGAGCTTACACTCTAATGACTCCTCCCCCACAGTCACATCAGTCTCTGTACCAGAGGAGCTTACACTCTAATGTCCCCTCCCCCACAGTCACATCAGTCTCTGTACCAGAGGAGCTTACGCTCTAATGACTCCTCCCCCACAGTCACATCAGTCTCTGTACCAGAGGAGCTTACGCTCTAATGTCCCCTCCTCCGCAGTCACATCAGTCTCTGTACCAGAGGAGCTTACGCTCTAATGTCCCCTCCCCCGCAGTCACATCAGTCTCTGTACCAGAGGAGCTTACGCTCTAATGTCCCCTCCCCCGCAGTCACATCAGTCTCTGTACCAGGGGAGCTTACGCTCTAATGACTCCTCCCCCACAGTCACATCAGTCTCTGTACCAGAGGAGCTTACGCTCTAATGTCCCCTCCTCCGCAGTCACATCAGTCTCTGTACCAGAGGAGCTTACGCTCTAATGTCCCCTCCCCCGCAGTCACATCAGTCTCTGTACCAGAGGAGCTTACGCTCTAATGTCCCCCTCCCCCGCAGTCACATCAGTCTCTGTACCTGAGGAGCTTACTCTCTAATGTCCCCTCCCCCGCAGTCACATCAGTCTCTGTACCAGGGGAGCTTACGCTCTAATGACTCCTCCCCCACAGTCACATCAGTCTCTGTACCAGAGGAGCTTACGCTCGAATGACTCCTCCCCCGCAGTCACATCAGTCTCTGTACCAGAGGAGCTTACGCTCTAATGTCCCCTCCCCCGCAGTCACATCAGTCTCTGTACCAGAGGAGCTTACGCTCTAATGTCCCCTCCCCCGCAGTCACATCAGTCTCTGTACCAGAGGAGCTTACGCTCTAATGTCCCCTCCCCCACAGTCACATCGGTCTCTGTACCAGAGGAGCTTACGCTCTAATGTCTTATGGCGGTTTATTTATATTCATTACACATTTTGTAGAATATATGTATTTATTGACCAGTATGTGTGTGTGCGTATGTACAGTGTGAATATATATATATATATATATATACAGTCATGGCCGAAATTGTTGGCACCCTTGATATTTTTCCTGAAAATCAAGTATTTCACACAAAAAAGGTATTGCATTAACACATGTTTTGCTATACACATGTTTATTCCCTTTGTATGTATTGGAACAAATATAAAACAGAGGCAGAAAAGCAAATATGACATAATGTCACACAAAACCCCAAAAATGGGCTGGACAAAAGTATTGGCACCCTTAACTTAATATTTGGTTGCACACCCTTTGGAAAACATAACTGAAATCAGTCGCTTCCTATAACCATCAATAAGCTTCTGACACCTCTCACCCGGAATTTTGGACCACTCTTCCTTTGCAAACAGCTCCAGGTCTCTCTTATTGGAAGGACACCTTTTCCCAACAGCAATTTTAAGATCTCTCCACAGGTGTTCAATGGGATTTAGATCTGGGCTCATTGCTGGCCACTTCAGAACTCTCCAGCGCTTCTTTGCCATCCATTTCTGAGTGCTTTTTGACGTATGTTTGGGGTCATTGTCCTGCTGGAAGACCCAGGATCTTGGACGCAAACCCAGCTTTCTGACACTGGGCCCTACAGTGCGACCCAAAATCCTTTGGTAATCCTCAGATTTCATGATGCCTTGCACACAGTCAAGGCACCCAGTGCCAGAGGCAGCAAAACAACCCCAAAACATCATTGAACCTCCACCATATTTTACCGTAGGTACTGTGTTTTGTTCTTTGTAGGCCTCATTCCGTTTTCGGTAACACAGAATAGAATGATGTGCTTTACCGAAAAGCTCTATCTTGGTCTCATCTGTCCACAAGACGTTTTCCCAGAAGGCTTTTGGCTTACTCAAGTACATTTTGGCAAACTGTAGTCTTGCTTTTTTATGTCTCTGTGTCAGCAGTGGGGTCCTCCTGGGTCTCCTGCCATAGCGTTTCATTTCATTTAAATGTCGACGGATAGTTCGCGCTGACACTGATGCTCCCTGAGCCTGCAGGACAGCTTGAATGTCTTTGGAACATGTTTGGGGCTGCTTATCCACCATCCGGACTATTCTGCGTTGCAATCTTTCATCAATTTTCCTCATCCGTCCACGACCAGGGAGATTAGCTACAGTGCCATGGGTTGCAAACTTCTTGATAATGTTGCGCACTGTGGACAAAGGCAAATCTAGTTCTCTGGAGATGGACTTGTAACCTTGAGATTGTTGATATTTTGCCACAATTTTGGTTCTCAGGTCCTCAGACAGTTCTCGTCTCCTCTTTCTGTTGTCCATGCTTAGTGTGGCACAGACAGACACACAATGCAAAGGTTAAGTGAACGTCTCTCCTTTTTATCTGCTTTCAGGTGTGATTTCTATATTGCCCACACCTGTTACTTGCCCCAGGTGAGTTTACAGGAGCATCACATGCTTGTAACATTCTTATTTATCCGCAGTTGTGAAAGGGTGCCAATACTTTTGTCCAGCCCATTTTTGGAGGTTTGTGTGACATTATGTCGAATTTGCTTTCTTTCCTCCCTTTTTTTGTTTTGTCCCAATACACACAAAGGGAATAAACATGTGTATAGCAAAACATGTGTTAATGCAATACGTTTCGTGAGAAATACATGATTTCCTGGAGAAATATCAAGGGTGCCAACAATTTCGGCCATGACTGTATATATATACACACACACTGTCTCTATCTATCTATCTATCTCTATATCTGTGACATAAATGTGCATATTTGAGTAGCTGAGAGGTGACCTGTAGCAATATGTAATGCTAAATGTAGTTTCAGTCCTTGTCATTAAAGAAATAAGGTATTCAGAGACAGATGGTCATCAATTAGCATCTGAAGGGACTAGCTTCCTCTGGAAGTGGCAGCTGGGTGCTAAAAAGAATTTGTCACCTATATGTAATCAGACTCTGCTGCCTTCCTGAAGCTTAAAAGAGAAACGCAGACAGTTTGGCTTCATGACACCAGGGGTCCTGAGCTGTCTAGGGAGCTCTAAAAGTATATACATACATCAAAGGAGTAGGTTTCATCCCTCATAAAAGTTAAAATAGTAGTTGCAGAGAGATGAAAATACTTCCTTCTGATGGGCCACTCTGTAGGCTACATCGGCATATAAAAACTATATTTGTTGCCTATGTAGAATTCGAGAAAAATGCAGGAAATGGTTATGTGGCGCTGGAGTGCGATAGAGGAACAGTGATTGGTACTGTCGCGATTGGATTGAGCGCTGGTGTCGGAAATTCAATCCCCGACTTGGTGATTCAAGCCGGTCTTGGTCCAATTGACTTTGGGCAGTTCGGCACCCAGAACAGCCTGAGCCAATTGGCTAAGAACTCATGTCCAGCCTACGTCCATATCCCCATAAATTGAGGACACGGACATTTGGGCAGTGGTTCGATCGACTAACGGATTACAGACTCTCGGACTTGCTCCAGTCGCAGGGTAAAGCTTGGTAAAAGTTTTATTTCTGTTTTTTATTCCCTATTATTTTATAGCAAATACTCTATGTGTGTCTTGTATTTTTGTAACTTTTTATACTTTGTACATATTTTATGCACTGCCCACTTTCGGGATATTTAATCGTAAAATTAATAAGTGACTTCTGTGTATTTAAGCACGGGCTCATATCTCCGGAGAGATTAGATTGCATTGTATGTTAGTGCCTTTATTTGTTCGGCCAAGCTTATTACCAATCTGTATGCAATTGCACTGCGTGTGGGCAGATTGCGTCCAGATTGTAAAGGTAGCAGATCTGCCAGACGGAGATCTGTGTATGTGTGGTGTCCCAACAGACCGTTCTGCGGATAAACGGATGGGTCGTGGCCAGCTACCATTTATGGTGTGTCTGGTGTGCGGGTGCGTGCACAGTGGAAGGGTGATTAACCACTTGCCGTCCGCCTACTGTTTTTAAACGGCAAGACGGTGTCACTCTAGGGGCGGGTTGCCGTTCATAAACGGCACCCACATTTTCTAGTTGTGCACGCTCCCTCGGAGCACGCAGCACTGCGATCCGGTGCCCGCTGTGTCCTCCGGACACAGTGGAACACCGATCAACGGACGGGACCTCTGTGCGAGGTCCCGATCATGTGATCACTGATTGGCCAATCAGTGATCACATGCAGAGTAGTAAGCAAGATGTCACTTGTGACATCATTGCTTACTACGTGTGAAATCTGTGAATGATCACAGAGGTCACATGGTACAGGGCTATTCACAACAGCCTTGTACCATGTGACAAGCTGTGACCAATCACAGCTCACACAGTATTTCTCAATGGCTGCAAGAATGCAGCCACAGAGAAGGAGAAATGATTGCTTTTACAGCCTTTATGGGTGTAAAAGCAATAAGTGTAAAAAAAAAAAAAAAAAATCTTCATCACCCCCCACAGGTAGTACAGTGTCACCATGTACTGCTAGGGTGGCAGTATGTTAAAAAAAAATAATAATATAAAAAAATAAAATAAAAATGTAAAAAAAAATTTAGAAAAATGTTTGATTATAAACTAATTTGAGTTATTTTTTTTTTTTGCTAAAAAGATAACGAAATAAATTTTGGCCAAGATTTATGATGAAATATTATTTATTTGCAAAATTTTATAAGAAAAACACTTTTTTTTCAAAATTTTTGGACTTTTTCATTTAAATACCAAAAAAAATAAAAATCCCAGGGGTGAATAAATACCACTAAAATAAAGCTTTATCTGTCTCAAAAAAATGCTAAAAAATTCATATGGGTACAGTGTTGCATGACTGCGCAATTGTCATTCAAAGTGTGACAATGCTGAAAGCTGAAAATTGGCCTAGATAGGAAGGGGGTGAAAGTGTCCGGACTGGAAGGGGGGGAAAGTGTCCGGACTGGAAAACTGGAAGGGGAGGAAAGAGTCCGGATTGGAAGGGCGGGAAAGAGTCCGGACTGGAAGGGCGGGAAAGTGTCCGGACTGGAAGGGCGGGAAAGTGTCCGGACTGGAAGGGCGGGAAAGTGTCCGGACTGGAAGGGCGGGAAAGTGTCCGGACTGGAAGGGCGTGTCCGGATCTGGGAAAGTGTCCGGACTGGAAGGGCGGGAAAGTGTCCGGACTGGTAGAGGGTGAAAGTGTCCGGACTGGAAGGTGGGGAAAGTGTCCGATCTTGAAGGGGGGGAAATTGTCCGGACAGGAAGGGGGGGAAAGTGTCCGGACTGGAAGGGGGGGAAAGTGTCCGGACTGGAAGGGGGGGAAAAGTGTCCGGACAGGAAGGCAGGGAAAGTGTCCGGACAGGAAGGCAGGGAAAGTGTCCGGACAGGAAGGGGGGGAAAGTGTCCGGACAGGAAGGTGGGGAAAGTGTCCGGACAGGAAGGCGGGGAAAGTGTCCGGACAGGAAGGGGGGGAAAGTGTCAGGACTGGAAGTGATTAACACCGGGGATTCTGGCTTGTAGGATATGAAAATGGTATAGCGAGCGCTACAGACAAGAGTGTATAAGCAGCTAGAACACCAAAAAAGGCAACCAACCAACCTTACAATAATCAATAAACAGAGAAGATAGGTGCAGCGCTATGATCAAAATACAGAAAAAAATTCTCTATAAATTATATATGCATCTAAATACCAATGATCAAAGAGATGCAAGATGTGATACAATGATAAACAGTGCGCTAATCGGTAGGAAATAAAAAGTCCTCATCCCAGATCAGTGGTTGTGAGAGATGAAAAATCCTAAGAACAGATAGAATGCGCACTCTGAGGACGTGCATCGCACGAAACGCGTCAGGGGGGGCTACAGCTTATGGACATCTAGCCACTATATGTGGCCAACATTTATGGAGTATTTCTGACGCCCACACGGTTTGATGAATCCTGGCTACTGTTCTTCGTGGTGAAACAGAGGGTAGTACGGAGTGCGATCTGACCAGAGCCCTGAAGGTGGAGAGAATTTGCTGAATATACTTCTCTACATGCGTTATTTAAACGCACCTCTGGTGAGTGCGCATTCTATCTGTTCTTAGGATTTTTCATCTCTCACAACCACTGATCTGGGATGAGGACTTTTTATTTCCTACCGATTAGCGCACTGTTTATCATTGTATCACATCTTGCATCTCTTTGATCATTGGTATTTAGATGCTTATATAATTTGTAGAGAATTTTTTTCTGTATTTTGATCATAGCGCTGCACCTATCTTCTCTGTTTATTGGCTTGTAGGATAGCTGGAGGGATCTTAGAAGGGTGTGTGATTACTAAGCTGCTCCTAAACTCTAATAAGTGCACCAGATTGTATATAAGATTTGTATCTGCCAGTGTGTGGTCGACCAGCTGGATTGGAGTGGAGTCTCCCTCCGGTGCTGGCCAAGAGGTAGTGCGGGCTGTGGAAGTATATCATGGCTGGTCTTATATACGGTATATATATTCAAAGTTAAGTCCCCTTTATTCCCTCTTACCCCAAGTTACGGCCACACGTGCGCATGCATGTCATGACTGTTGGTCTGTTGGATTTCTATGACTCTACTACACCTGCTAGGAAATTATTTGCCATGTAGAAATATCATTTCCACCAAAAACAGAGATTGATCCGGTTAGTGATGTCTGACTGCTAGTATTTTGAACACAACTATATATATATATACACACACACACGTATATACACACACTACTCACAAAAATTACAGGACAACTTTGAAAACCCATCAGATCTCAATGGGGAGGAATCTCCTGCTGGATCTCTACACTGACATGGACGGGGGATGAGTGAGGAACGTAAGGACGCCCCATCGTTTGATGGAAATGAAAATGATTGAGCTACAGAGGACTGAATTCATAGACACCTAGAAAATCAAAGTGAAGAAATGATGCAGCAGGCGAGTCCATGTTGGCGAAATGTCATTGCAGCAAAAAACGCAACACAAAAGGCAATGCAGAAATGGCGTTTTTGCTGCATTTGTGCCAGGTTTTTGATGCGTTTTGCATTTTAAATCTGCTCAGCAACTAGAAAAAAAAAGAGTAAAAAGTAAAAAAGAAAAATGCATAAAAAACGCAAGTACAAAAACGCAAAACGCAATGCAGAAACAGTTCAAACGCAACCTGCATAGGTGTGAACCTAGTCTCAGTCCTTGAGATATAAGTATTGTCCCCGCCCTCCAAATCATGTGATTCAGGTGTCCCAATCCCCTTCATGGTCACAGGTGTATACAATCCATCCCCTAGGCATGCAGACTGCTTCTATAAACATTGGTGAAAGAATGGGTCGCTCTCAGGAGCTCAGTGACTCCAAGCGTGGTCCCGTGATAGGTGGTCACCTGTGCAATAAGTCCATCCGTGACATTTCCTGGCTACTAAATATTCCACGCTCAACTGTTAGTGGGATTATAACAAAGTGGAAGCAACTGGGAACAACAGCCACTCAGCCACCAAGTGGTAGGCCACGTCACATGACAGGGCGGGGTCAGCGCATGCTGAAGCGCACAGTGCGCAGAAGTCACCAACTGTCTGCAGAGTCAATAGCTAAAGACCTCCAAACTTGGTGTGGCCTTCAGATGAGCCCAACAACAGTGCGTAGAGAGCTTCATGGAATGGGTTTCCATGGCCGAGCAGCTGCATCCAAGTCTTCCATCACCAAGTGCAATGCCAAGCGTAGGATGCCGTGGTGTAAAGCACGTCGCCACTGGACTCTAGAGCAGAGGAGGCGTGTTCTCTGGAGTGACCAATCACGCTTCTCTGTCTGGCAATCTGATGGACATGTCTGGTTTTGGCGGTTGCGAGGAGAACGGTACTTGCCTGACTGCATTGTGCCAAGTGTAAAGTTTGGTGGAGGGGGGTGTATGGTGTGGGGTTGTTATTCAGGGGTTGGGCATGGCCCCCTAATTCCAGTGAAGGGAACTCTTAAGGTGACATTTTGGACAATTTTGTGCTCCCAACTTTGTGGGAAGAGTTTGGGGATGGCCCCTTCCTGTTCCAACATGACTGCACACCAGTGCACAAAGCAAGGTCCATAAAGACATGGAGGAGCCAGTTTGGGGTGGAGGAACTTGACTGTCCTGCACAGAGTCCTGACCTCAACCCCATAGAACACCTTTGGGATGAATTAGAGTGGAGACTGCGAGCCAGGCCTCCTCCCCCGACATCAGTGCCTGACCTGACACATGTGCTTCTGGAAGAATGGTCCAACCTTCCCATAGACACCCTCCTAAACCTTGTGGACGACCTTCCCAGAAGAGTTGAAGCTGTTACAGCTGCAAAGGGCGGGGCCAACTCAATATTGAACCCTACGGACTAAGATGGGGGGCCATTAAAGGTCATGTGTGTGGAAAGGCCGGCCGACCAATACTTGGGGCAATATAGTCCAGGTGTGATGGGATGGGAATTGGAAGTTTTAGGATAGATGTAATTCAATACTTTGACCAATAGATGTCCTCAGTAAGCAGCAATCATGTATCAATGAACACAACTGGAGATATGTGAAGGATCAATAAATTTGTTATCATTTTGGTGATTAGAAGACCAGTTTAGATAACAACAAAGAGTTATAAAATCTTACTCCAGTTAATCTTTAAAAAAACACATTTGCTGATTGGCCGTATATTACCCCTCCCCTCCCTGAGATAAGACGTTGTGAAATGCTTCCAAGTTCTGTTGATAAAACTCTGTCAGGGTTGTCTGTATTTCTGTAAAGAATCCGGTAAGCTGGTAAGAATTGTGAGCTGACGGCTACAGCTGGTGGTCAGCTTACTGTTTAACAAGGGCCTTAGTTGTGGCCCCTGACATCACCAAAGGGCCACATACTACAGGAGATGGTCAGAGACTGCAGACATAGTACAGGAGATTGGTCAGAGACTGCGGACATACTAAAAGAGACTGTCAGAGACTGCAGACATACTAAAAGAGACGGTCAGAGACTGCAGACATGATGCAGGAGATGGTCAGAGACTGCAAACATACTACAGGAGACGGTCAGAGACTGCAGACATGCTACAGGAGATGGTCAGAGACTGCAGACATAGTACAGGAGACAGTCAGAGACTGCATAGTACAAGAGATGGTCAGAGACTGCAGACATAGTACAGGAGATGGTCAGAGACTACAGACATACTGCAGGAGATGGTCAGAGACTGCAGACATACTACAGGAGATGGTCAGAGACTGCAGACATAGTACAGGAGATGGTCAGAGACTGCAGACATAGTACAGGAGATGGTCAGAGACTGCAGACATACTAAAGGAGATGGTCAGAGACTGCAGACATACTACAGGAGATGGTCAGAGACTGCAGACATACTACAGGAGATGGTCAGAGACTACAGACATACTACAGGAGACGGTCAGAGACTGCTGGCATACTACAGGAGATGGTCAGAGACTGCAGACATACTACAGGAGATGGTCAGAGACTGCTGGCATACTACAGGAGATGGTCAGAGACTGCAGACATGAAACAGGAGATGGTCAGAGACTGCAGACATACTACAAGAGATGGTCAGAGACTGCAGACATAGTACAGGAGATGGTCAGAGACTGCAGACATACTACAAGAGATGGTCAGAGACTGCAGACATACTACAGGAGATGGTCAGAGACTGCAGACACAGTACAGGAGATGACCAGAGACTGCGGACACAGTACAGGAGATGGTCAGAGACTGCAGACACAGTACAGGAGATGACCAGAGACTGCGGACACAGTACAGGAGATGACCAGAGACTGCAGACACAGTACAGGAGATGACCAGAGACTGCGGACATGACACAGGAGATGGTCAGAGACTAGAGACATAGTACAGTAGATGGTTAGAAATTGCAGACATGGTACAGGAGACGGTCAGACTCCAGACAGTACAGGAGACGGTCAAAGACTGCAGACCAGAGCTCTGTGCACTGTGTATCATGAACAATTGCTGATTATTCTAATCCTGCTGTCAGTGCTGCAGATCTCCTCCCACCTCTCTCTGCCACTTCCTGTTTGCATGCATTTGCTCCCCCATCCATGGACCCTGCCACTAGTCTCCACCAGGGCATACGTGGTAGAGTGACAACAAAGGAGCCTAATTTGTCAGCAGTTGTCACCCTATAACAGGAAGTGCCTGAACAGGGGCCTCCATGGTGGGATCACCAGGGGATATTTTATTGAAAGCTGCGGATTTAAGGAGATTGAAAATAACTTTTGAAATGGCAATGAAGTGGACCGTCACCTCTCTCACTGGTCTATTCCCCCCTGGGGGTCAGGAAGATCTGCCGGATCACGTGACCACTGTAATTGGCTGTCACAGTGATCACATGGCAAGGAGCTGCTCCCGTCGGCTTTCAGTTTTTACCATTCATATAGCAGAGACCCCCCGTGGCATGTCAGGCCACAGGGGTCCTTACCGTATTACTGGCAGAGACCTGACCTTTTTCTGTGCCTGGCAGAGGATTCGTCCCATGGACCTGGCCAGTGCGTTTCACCCAATCTCAATTCAAGATGGCAGCACAGGAGAGGAGGGGCATGGGGAGACCTTTGAAAACGCTGGACTCCATGGACTGGTAGAACGTTGTTCACTTTGTATAGAGAGATGAGCATTCAACTTTTACACCACCAGGGGTCTGACCATCTGCTCGGGGGGCCCCGTCCTTCCCGTTTCTGGAGCTCTGCAGATGATTCCTTTTCTTCTGCCCGCACATTGAGCTCTCGCTTCCCTGTTTCTGCACGGACACTTCCTCCTCCTCCGTCATTTACAGTCTGCACAGTGACACCTTTCTGCTCACTCTCTGACAGCCGGACGTAACAAACCACAAAGCAGGAGGTATGAGGGTCCCGATCATTACAGGTCACAACTAATAGGGAACAGGAGGTATGAGGGTCCCGATCATTACAGGTCACAACTAATAGGGAACAGGAGGTATGAGGGTCCCGATCATTACAGGTCACAACCAATAGGGAACAGGAGGTATGAGGGTCCCGATCATTACAGGTCACATCTAATAGGGAACAGGAGGTATGAGGGTCCCGATCATTACAGGTCACATCTAATAGGAAACAGGAGGTATGAGGGTCCCGACCATTACAGGTCACATCTAATAGAGAACAGGAGGTATGAGGGTCCCGATCATTACAGGTCACATCTAATAGGGAACAGGAGGTATGAGGGTCCCGATCATTACAGGTCACATCTAATAGAGAACAGGAGGTATGAGGGTCCCGATCATTACAGGTCACATCTAATAGAGAACAGGAGGTATGAGGGTCCCGATCATTACAGGTCACATCTAATAGGGAACAGGAGGTATGAGAGGGTCCCGATCGTCACAGGTTACATCTAATAGAGAACAGGAGGCATGAGGGTCCCGATCATTACAGGTCACATCTAATAGAGAACAGGAGGCATGAGGGTCTTGATCGTTACAGGTTACATCTAATAGGGAACAGGAGGTATGAGGGTCCCGATCATTACAGGTCACATCTAATAGGGAACAGGAGGCATGAGGGTCCCGACCATTACAGGTCACATCTAATAGGGAACAGGAGGTATGAGGGTCCCGACCGTTACAGGTCACATCTAATAGAGAACAGGAGGTATGAGGGTCCCGATCGTTACAGGTCACATCTAATAGGGAACAGGAGGTATGAGGGTCCCGATCATTACAGGTCACATCTAATAGGGAACAGGAGGTATGAGGGTCCCGATCATTACAGGTCACATCTAATAGAGAACAGGAGGTATGAGGGTCCCGATCATTACAGGTCACATCTAATAGGAACAGGAGGTATGAGGGTCCCGATCATTACAGGTCACATCTAATATAGAGAACAGGAGGTATGAGGGTCCCGTTCATTACAGGTCACATCTAATAGGGAACAGGAGGTATGAGGGTCCCGATCATTACAGGTCACATCTAATAGAGAACAGGAGGTATGAGGGTCCCGATCATTACAGGTCACATCTAATAGGGAACAGGAGGTATGAGGGTCCCGACCATTACAGGTCACATCTAATAGGGAACAGGAGGTATGAGGGTCCCGATCATTACAGGTCACATCTAATAGGGAACAGGAGGTATGAGGGTCCCGATCATTACAGGTCACATCTAATAGGGAACAGGAGGTATGAGGGTCCCGATCATCATTACAGGTCACATCTAATAGGGAACAGGAGGTATGAGGGTCCCGATTATTAGAGGTTACATCCAATAGAGAACAGGAGGTATGAGGGTCCCGATCATTACAGGTCACATCTAATAGAGAACAGGAGGTATGAGGCTCCCAATCATTACAGGTCACATCTAATAGAGAACAGGAGGTATGAGGGTCCCTGTCAGGATCCAGGTGTTCTGCGGCATCGCGTCGGGCGGCGCATGCGCAGAACACCAACTCTCTCTACCCGGCGGGCGGTAGGACCTGGCCACGCATGGCGGGGGTTCGCGCATGCGCACTCGGGATCACGGACGCGCGCCTGGCACCAATGACAGCGGGAGGCGGGCTATTTAAACGTAGGAACAGGTATGTTAGTTGCCGTTTGGTCTTGTATCCTGTGTCCTGTATCCTGTTCCTGTGTGCTGTATACTCCGTTGCCGACCTCTGCTTGTTCCTGATCCTGCTCTTCTCCTGTTTAACCCCTGGCTTGCCTGACTACTCTTCTGTCTGATCCCAGGTACTGTATTTGCCCGCATCCTGCTGAACCTGGCTTGTGACCTGACCATTCTTAGCTCGCTCCTCTGTACCTCTCGCTGCCCGCATAATACCGACCCGGCCTGTCTGACCACGCATACCGTACCCGACCATCCATCCGGTTTGGATCAGACCAGTGTATCTGTCTGCCTCTTCCAAAGTAGATTCCGTTCCTGCACTCCCCTGTCAGTATTCTCTACCACCGCAGGACGCACTCGGGGGTCGCGACCTGGTTTCAGTCTGCACCAAGTCCATCCCCACCATCAGGGGCCCTGGTGAACAGCAGGCTGGGACTTAGACCCCGCGTCCTGAGAGCGTCCGTGCGGTGGGCTGCTAGAGACTCTGCCAGGCGGCATAACAGTCCCGATCGTCACAGGTTACATCTAATAGGGAACAGGAGGTATGAGGGTCCCGATCGTTACAGATTACATCTAATAGAGAACAGGAGGTATGAGGGTCCCGATCATTACAGGTCACATCTAATAGGGAACAGGAGGTATGAGGGTCCCGATCATTACAGGTCACATCTAATAGGGAACAGGAGGTATGAGGGTCCCGATCATTACAGGTCACAACTAATAGGGAACAGGAGGTATGAGGGTCCCGATCATTACAGGTCACATCTAATAGAGAACAGGAGGTATGAGGGTCCCGATCATTACAGGTCACATCTAATAGGGAACAGGAGGTATGAGGGTCCCGATCATTACAGGTCACATCTAATAGGGAACAGGAGGTATGAGGGTCCCGATCATTACAGGTCACATCTAATAGGGAACAGGAGGTATGAGGGTCCCGATCATTACAGATTACATCTAATAGGGAACAGGAGGCATGAGGGTCCCGATCATTACAGGTCACATCTAATAGAGAACAGGAGGCATGAGGGTCCCGATCATTACAGGTCACATCTAATAGGGAACAGGAGGTATGAGGGTCCTGATCATTACAGGTCACATCCAATAGAGAACAGGAGGTATGAGGGTCCCGATCATTACAGATTACATCTAATAGGGAACAGGAGGCATGAGGGTCCCGATCATTACAGGTCACATCTAATAGAGAACAGGAGGCATGAGGGTCCCGATCATTACAGGTCACATCTAATAGAGAACAGGAGGTATGAGGGTCCCGATCATTACAGGTTACATCTAATAGAGAACAGGATGTATGAGGGTCCCGATCATTACAGATTACATCTAATAGGGAACAGGAGGTATGAGGGTCCCGATCATTACAGGTCACATCTAATAGAGAACAGGAGGTATGAGGGTCCCGATCATTACAGGTCACATCTAATAGGGAACAGGAGGTATGAGGGTCCCGATCATTACAGGTCACATCTAATAGAGAACAGGAGGTATGAGGGTCCCGATCATTACAGGTCACATCTAATAGGGAACAGGAGGTATGAGGGTCCCGATCATTACAGCTTACATCTGATAGAGAACAGGAGGTATGAGTGTCCCGATCATTACAGGTTACATCTAATAGGGAACAGGAGATATGAGGGTCCCGATCATTACAGGTCACATCTAATAGAGAACAGGAGGTATGAGGGTCCCGATCATTACAGGTTACATCTAATAGGGAACAGGAGGTATGAGGGTCCCGATCATTACAGGTTACATCTAATAGGGAACAGGAGGTATGAGGGTCCTCACTGTAAAAGGAGGATCTATCTGGATCCATGTAGCTTCTATATGAATGCTCACTACACGCTGACTTCCCTTTTCTCTTTCAGCAGAACACTGGGGACCTTCCTTATATTGCAGTTGATTTAAGGTCAGCCGCCACTTCTGCCTTCTGTCTATAGAAGACATCTGTGCAGCTTCTGCATCCCAACAGACATACAGCGCCATTAAAAAGTCTTCACACACCCTTTAAATTTTCCACATTTCGGCATGTTACAACCAAAAACCTAAATGTATTTATTGGGGTTTTATGTGATAGACCAACACAAAGTGGCACATAATTGTGAAGTGGAAGGAAAATGATAAATGGTTATCAAAAGTTTTTACAAATAAATATCTGAAAAGTGTGCAATACATTTATATTCAGCCCCCTTTACTCTGATACCGCTAACTAAAATCTAGTGGAACCAATTGCCTTCAGAAGTCACCTAATTAGTACATAGAGTCCCCCTGTGTGTCATGTGATCTCAGTATAAATACAGCTTTTCTATGAAGCCCTTAGAGGTTTGTTAGAGAACATTAGGGAACATACAGCATCATGAAGGCCAAGGAACACACCAGTCAGGTCAGGGATAAAGTTGTGGATAAGTTTAAAGCAGGGTTAGGTTGTATAAAACTATGTTCCAAGCTTTGACCATCTCACATAGCACTGTTCAGTCCATCATCGGGAAATGGAAAGAGTATGGTACAACTGCAAACCTACCAAGACATGGCCGTCCACCTAAACTGACAGGCCGGGCAAGGACAGCATTCATCAGAGAAGCAGCCAAGAGGCCCATGGGAACTCTGGAGGAGCTGCAGAGATCCACAGCTCAGGGGGGAGAATCTGTCCACAGGACAACTATTAGTCGGCACTCCACAAATCTGGCCTTTATGGAAGAGTGACAAGAAGAAAGCCATTGTTGGAAGAAAGCCATAAGAAGTCCCGTTTGCAGTTTGTGAGAAGCCATGTGGGGGGCACAGCAAACATGTGGAAGAAGGGGCTCTGGTCAGAGGAGACCAAAATGGAACTTTTTGGCCTAAAAGCAAAACTCTATGTGTGGCGGAAAACTAACACTGCACATGTTCCGGAACGGTTGGTAAGGTGGATGAGTCTGACAGCAGCATTCATGATGGACTGAAGAGGGGATAGCCTGCGATGAGGTAGGCCAATGAGGAGGGAGTTACAGTAGTCAAAGCGTGATATAATAAGGGAGTGAATGAGTTGCTTAGTGGTTTCTGAGGTTAGGAACGGTCGTATCTTGGAGATGTTACGGAGGTGAAGTCTACAAGATTTGGACAGCGATTGGATTTGGGGCTGAAAGGGCAGATGGGAGTCTAGGATTACACCTAGTACCCTGGCATGAGGGGAGGGAATGATGGTTCTATTATTGATCTTGATGGAGAAGTCAGGGAAGGGGGCACGGGCTGGAGGGCATAGTATGAGCTCTGTGACATTTATGTAATATTTGGGTAGCTGAGATGTGATCAGTAGTAATATGTCATTGTAGATTTAGTTTCATTCCATGTATTAAAGATAGGTGTTCAGTATTCAGTCAGACATATGTTCACCAATTAGCATCTGAAAGGACAGAGCAGCTTCTAGGCTGGAGGTGACACCGAGGTGCCAATAAAACCTTGTCAACTATGTAGCCAGAGTTTGCCACCTTCTAGAAATCTAAAAAGAAGGGCTCTAGCCATTTCGGCTTTGGGAAGCAGCGGGAGACCAGGAGTGGCTCCGATCTGTCTGCCAGCTATGATTTATATCCACAGATCAGAGGAAATATATTTCATCTCTCATAAAAGCTAAAATATTAGTTGCAGAGAGATGAAAATCCTTCCTTCTGATTGGACACCTTGTAGGCTCCATCTACATGTAAAGCTGTATTTGTAGCCCCTGTGGAATCCTAGAAACGGTTATATGGGCCTGATTGCAACAGCTGAACAGTGATTGGTACTGTCGCGATCGAACTGATGCGCTGATGTCGGAAATTCTATCCCTGACTTGATGATTCAAACTGTTCCTGGTCCAACTGACTTTGGGCACTTCAGAACCCAGAATGTCCTGCGGGCTGGTACAGGAACACCCCCAGGGTTGATTGGCAAAGGGCTAATGTCCAGCCTACATCCATATTTCAATAAATTGAGGACCCTGAGATATGGACGGTGTGATTCGTACGGAGCCGGTTCCATATGGCTGGCGGATCGCGGACTATCTCTGACTTGCTCCAGTCGCAGGATAAATCTTGGTAAAAGTTTTATTTCTGTTTTTATTCCCTTTTATTTATAGTGAATAGCCAATTGTGTGTCTTTTTGGATTTTCTGTATTATCTGTATATCTTTATACTTTGTACATATTTTATGCACTGCCCACTTTTGGGATATTAAATTATTAAATTAATAAGTGACTTCTGGGTACTTAAGCTCGGGCTCATATCTCCGGAGAGATTGTTGTATTGCAGTGTCTATATATGCTTGGTCAAGTTCATTGCCTATCTGTACGCAATTGCACTGCGTGTTGGCAGATTGCATGCAGATTGTAAAGTAGCAGATCTGCCAAATGGAGATCTGTGTGTGTGTGGTGGCCCAGCAGACCAGTCTGCGGACAAACTGTTGGGTGGTGGCAAGCTACCGTTTGTTGTGTGTCTGGTGTGGGGGTGTGTGGACAGTGGAAGAGTCATTAACACCGGGGTTGTATCTTGTAGGATAGCTGGAGGAATCCTAGAAGGGTGTGCCAATTGCTAGACTGCTCCCCAAAACTTAGAGTGCACCAGATTGTATATAAGATTCGTATCTGCCTGTGTGTGGTCAGCCAGCTGGATTGGAGAGGAGTCTCCCTCTAGTGGTGGACAGAGGTAGCGTGGGCTGTGAAAGTGTATCACGGCCAGTCTTATATGCTCAAAGCAAGTCCCCCTCATTCCCTCTTTACCCCAAGTCACAGCCGGATGTGCACGCCTCGGTTAGCTAGTCGCTGGGGGCATGTGTGTGTGGTGTAGATCCGTGACAAGCTCCATTTTAGAAAGACTGAGTTTGAGGACGTGGAGTGACATCCATGCCGATATGTCACTTAGTAGGTTAGTAATGCGAGAGGAGACTGAAGAGGTGAGGGGTAGAAAGATAGATTTGTGTGTCATCAGCATAGAGATGGTACTTAAAGCCGTGGGAGTTTATCAACTGACTAAGGGAGGAGGTGTAGATGGAGAAGAGAAGGGGTCCAAGGACAGAACCTTCAGGGACCCCTACAGAAAGAGGAAGTGGAGAGGAAGAGACCAAGTTATAGGTAACTCTGAAGGAGCACTGCGATAGGTAGGAGGAGAACCAGGAGAGAGCAGAGTCTCGGAGGCCAAAAGAGTGTTTTGTTTTTTTGAGGAAGGGATGGTCAACAGTATCAAAAGCCGCAGAGAGATTAAGTAGTAAGAGTACGGAGTAGTGGCATTGGTTGGATGAGTACGGAGTAGTGGCATTGGTTGGGATGAGTACGGAGTAGTGGCCATTGGTTGGGATGAGTACGGAGTAGTGGCCATTGGTTGGGATGAGTACGGAGTAGTGGCCATTGGTTGGGATGAGTACGGAGTAGTGGCCATTGGTTGGGATGAGTACGGAGTAGTGGCCATTGGTTGGGATGAGTACGGAGTAGTGGCCATTGGTTGGGATGAGTACGGAGTAGTGGCCATTGGTTGGGATGAGTACGGAGTAGTGGCCATTGGTTGGGATGATACGGAGTAGTGCCATTGGTTGGGATGAGTACGGAGTAGTGGCCATTGGTTGGGATGAGTACGGAGTAGTGGCCATTGGTTGGGATGAGTACGGAGTAGTGGCCATTGGTTGGGATGAGTACGGAGTAGTGGCCATTGGTTGGGATGAGTACGGAGTAGTGGCCATTGGTTGGGATGAGTACGGAGTAGTGGCCATTGGTTGGGATGAGTACGGAGTAGTGGTACTGGTTGGGATGAGTACGGAGTAGTGGCCATTGGTTGGGATGAGTACGGAGTAGTGGCCATTGGTTGGGATGAGTACGGAGTAGTGGCCTTTGGTTGGGATGAGTATGGAGTAGTGGCCATTGGTTGGGATGAGTACGGAGTAGTGGCCATTGGTTGGGATGAGTACGGAGTAGTGGCCATTGGTTGGGATGAGTACGGAGTAGTGGCCTCTGGTTGGGATGAGTACGGAGTAGTGGCCATTGGTTGGGATGAGTACAGAGTAGTGGCCATTGATTGGGATGAGTAAAGAGTAGTGGCCATTGGTTGGGATGAGTACGGAGTAGGGGCCATTGGTTGGGATGAGTACGGAGTAGTGGCCATTGGTTGGGATGAGTACGGAGTAGTGGCCATTGGTTGGGATGAGTACGGAGTAGTGGCCATTGGTTGGGATGAGTACGGAGTAGTGGCCATTGGTTGGGATGAGTACGGAGTAGTGGCCATTGGTTGGGATGAGTACGGAGTAGGGGCCATTGGTTGGGATGAGTAAAGAGTAGTGGCCATTGGTTGGATGAGTACGGAGTAGTGGCCATTGATTGGGATGAGTAAGTAGTGGAGTAGTGGCCATTGGTTGGGATGAGTACGGAGTAGTGACCAGTGGGCCAGTAGTGGTTGGTTGGGATGAGTACGGAGTAGGGGCCATTGATGGGATGAGTAAAGAGTAGTGGCCATTGGTTGGGATGAGTACGGAGTAGTGGCCATTGGTTGGGATGAGTACGGAGTAGTGGCCGTTGGTTGGGATGAGTACGGAGTAGTGGCCGTTGGTTGGGATGAGTACGGAGTAGTGGCCATTGGTTGGGATGAGTACGGAGTAGTGGCCATTGGTTGGGATGAGTACGGAGTAGTGCCATTGGTTTTAGCAGTTAGTAGATCATTAGTGAGTTTTAGTAGGGTGGTTTCAGTGGAGTGTAGTGAGCGAAAGCCAGACTGTAAAGGGTCATGAAGGTTGTTGTCAGTGAGGGAGGAGCTCAGGCGATTGTAGACTAAGCGTTCAAGAGTTTCGAGGTAAACGAGAGCAGGGAGATGGGTCTTACATTGTTCAGGTTGGTGGGGTCCAAGGAGGACTTATTAAGTATGGGAGTGATGTGCGCATGCTTTAGAGGGGAGGGGAAGGCACCAGTAGAGAGGGAGAGATTGAAGATGTGAGTGAGGGAGCATAGGATGGAAGAAGAGGGTGACCGTAGTAGTGAGGGGACAGGATCCAGAGGGCAGGTGGTGAGAAGGGCTTCTGAGAAACCTTAGTGACCTCTTCAGTAGTAGGAGGTCAAAAGAGGAAAGTGCTGAGGGAGGTTTAGTATAAGGAATGCTAAGTGGGATGGATGTCTGTGTGGTGGAGATTCCCCTACGAATTGCATCAATCTTGTTTTTGAAATGATAAAAAGAAAGATGAGTGAGCGCTAAAAGTCAGTGAGCAGCTAAACACCAAAAGGTACCAAAAACCTCCAAAAATGAACAATAAAATAGCCGGGTGTAGCGCTTAAAAGTTAATAATCATAATAAGATAAAGGAAACCATACATCATATAACATGTCAAGCCGACTCAGCAGCTTATAAACAGAATAAAAGCATCAATGTGTTAAATGACGACAGTCCTAAAAAACAAGTGACAACGTGACAGTGCAAACACATATAAATAAGTGTATTGAGTCACTAATCCGTGACTCCCCATGTGCACGGTGTCAGGTACAAGTCCAAATATTAAGGTGCCTAAAGGTCTTCCGGATCCAAATGACTGGTGATAAAGAAAAGTGTAAAGACTGCGCACTCACCAGATGTGCAATCACACTGCGCATTTAGAGATATCAATCTCAAAGGACCAGGGTGTCCCCTTTAAAGGTCTGGTCAGGTCTGGAGCCCCTCTTAAATCGACATCCGCTGCCCATGGATGGCTCACCTCCTCTGTGGATAGTAGCTCAGAAAAAAAAGGAGGACGAGGATGAGGTCAGGGTGGAAGGAGCCCCCCGCTCCTCTGCAGCCCCCACTGGAGATCCTGGGGAAGAGCTTGGATGACTGGGGCTCCCCCACTACTGTCTCACTGTCCCCCGACACACTGCCCCCCACCTATTTTACTTATCTCCCCCATCCCATTGCCCCCCATCCATCACACTGCCCCCACCTGTCACCCTGCCCCCCACCTGTTCTACTTCCTCTCCCCCATCCCATTGCCCCCCATCCGTCACACTGCCCCCACCTGTCACCCTGCCCCACACCTGTTCCACTTCCCCCCCTCCTGTCCCCCACATTGTCCCACTGCCACCCCATCTCTCCCCTCTGCCCCTCAGCCATCCCTCTACGCTCCTCCCGTCTGGTTGCCTCAATCCTGTCACATGCCCCCCGTCATGCTGCCCCCCACCTGTCCCTCTGCGCTCCTCCTGTCCCACTGCCCCCCACCTGTCCCTCTGCGCTCCTCCTGTCCCACTGCCCCCCCCTGTCCCTCTCCGCTCCTCCTGTCCCACTGTCCCTCTGTGCTCCTCCTGTCCCACTGTCCCTCTGTGCTCCTCCTGTCCCATGCCCCATCACGCTGTCCCTATGTGCTCCTCCTGTCCCACTGCCCCCCACCTGTCCCTCTGTGCTCCTCCTATCCCTCTGCGCTCTTCCTGTCCCACTGCCCCCCACCTGTCCCACTGTCCCTCTGTGCTCCTCCTGTCCCGCTGCCCCTATCCTGTCCCATGCCCCCCACCTGTCATGCTGCCCCCACCTGTCCCCACTTCCCCTCACCTGTACCTCTGCACTTCTCCTGTCCCACTGCCCCCCCCACCTGTCCCTCTGTGCTCCTCCTGTCCCTCTGCGCTCCTCCTGTCCCACTGTCCCTCTGCGCTCCTCCTGTCACATGCCCCCCCGTCACGCTGCCCCCCCACCTATCCCTATGTGCTCCTCCTGTCCCACTGCCCCCCACTTGTCTCTCTGTGCTCCTCCTGTCCCACTGCCCCTATCCTGTCCCATGCCCCCATCATGCTGCCCCCCACCTGTCCTTCTGCACTCCTCCTGTCCCACTTCCTCTCACCTGTACCTCTGCGCTTCTCCTGTCCCACCGCCCCGCCCCTCACCTGTCCCTCTGCACTCTTCCTCTCCCTCCTGTCCCGCTGCATGATCCTGTCCCTCTGCGCTCCTCCTGTCCCACTGCCCCTATCCTGTCCCATGCCCCCCGTCACGCTGCCCCTTACCTGTCCCTCTGCACTCCTCCTGTCCCGTTGCCCCTCACCTGTCCATCTGCACGATCCTGTCCCTCTGCGCTCCTCCTGTCCTGCTGCACGATCCTGTCCCTCTGCGCTCCTCCTGTCCTGCTGCACGATCCTGTCCCTCTGCGCTCCTCCTGTCCTGCTGCACGATCCTGTCCTCTCTGCGCTGCCCTCCTGTCCCTCTGCGCTCCTCCTGTCCCGCTGCCCCTCACCTGTCCCTCTGCGCTCCTCCTGTCCTGCTGCACGATCCTGTCCCTCTGCGCTCCTCCTGTCCCTCTGCGCTCCTCCTGTCCTGCCCCTCACCTGTCCCCTTGTCCCTCCTCGCCGCTGCCCTCACCTGTCCCTCTGCGCTCCTCCTGTCCCTGCTGCCCCTCACCTGTCCCTCCGCACTCCTCCTGTCCGGCTGCACGATCCTGTCCCTCTGCGCTCCTCCTGTCCTGCTGCATGATCCTGTCCCTCTGCACGATCCTGTCCCTCTGCCTCTTCCTATCCCCTGCCCTCTGCTGTCCCTCCGCGCTCCCTCCTGTCCCGCTGCACGATCCTGTCCCTCTGTGCTCCTCCTGTCCCGCTGCACGATCCTGTCCCTCTGTGCCTCCTCACCTGTCCCTCTGCGCTCCTCCTGTCCCGCTGCCGCTCACCGCTGTCCCGCACGATCCTGTCCCTCTGCACGATCCTGTCCCTCTGCGCTCTTCCTGTCCCGCTGCCCCTCACCTGTCCCTCCGCGCTCCTCCTGTCCCGCTGCCGCTCACCTGTCCCTCTGCGCTCACCTGTCCCTCTGCGCTCCTCCTGTCCCTGCATGATCCTGCTGCACGATCCTGTTCCTCTGCACGATCCTGTCCCTCTGCACGATCCGTCCCTCTGCACGATCCTGTCCCTCTGCGCTCTCCTGTCCCGCTGCCCTCATCCTGTCCCTCTGCGCTCCTCCTGTCCCGCTGCCGCTCACCTGTCCCTCTGCGCTCACCTGTCCCTGTCCTCCTGTCCCGCTGCATGATCCTGTCCCTCTGCACGATCCTGTTCCTCTGCACGATCCTGTCCCTCTGCGCTCTTCCTGTCCCGCTTCACCTGTCCCTCCGCGCTCCTCCTGTCCCGCTGCACGATCCTGTCCCTCTGCGCTCCCTCCTGTCCCTGCCTCATGATCCTGTCCCTCTGCGCTTCTCCTGTCCTGTCCCTGTCCCTGCCCCTCACCTGTCCCTCTGCACGATGCGCTCCCTCTGCTGCCTGTCCTGTCCCGCTGCACGATCCTGTCCCTCTGCGCTCCTCCTGTCCCTGCACTGCCCCCCCTGCTGCATCCTCCTGTCCCTCTGCGCGCTCCTCCTGTCCCGCTGCCGCTCACCTGATCCTGTGCGCCCTCCTGTGCTGCTCCTCCTGTCCCACTGCGCCCCTGTCCCGCACGATGCTGTCCTCTGCTGCGCTCCTCCTGTCCTGCTGCACGATCCTGTCCCTCTGCCTCCCCACCCATCACGCTACCCTCCCACCTGTCCCAATGGCCTACACCTGTCCTGATATCCCCCCCCCCCATCATGCTGCCCCCATCCTGTCCCACGAGCCCCCCCATGTCACACTGCCCTCCATCATGCTCCTGTTCTGAAGAGGTGGATCTTAAACAGCAAAGGGAGGGACACATTTAGATGCGGAGGGGGAGGGGGAGCAGCACAAAGCCAACATACACCACTGGGTCTCTGTGCTTCTCTATTCACTGCACTGTG